GCCCGCCGATATTCTGCAGACTTTGGCCTTTGGGATTCTGGGAATCGCCGCCCCTGCTGAGCTCCGAATCGGTGCTCCGAGCTCGTCGTCACTGCCCCCGCTGGCCGCTGTCAAGCTCGCCAGACTTCATCAGGTTGTATTATTCCAAACTTCCAAATCTTTAACTACTTTCAATTTGATTGTGATCAGTAATACTTTATTATAGAAATGCCTCCAAGAAAATATCCTTCTGGATATGATAAACGCGTGAAAAAAAGAAAAATTGAACAATTTGTCCAAACTCAAAGTGGAGCGCTTGATAAATTTATTGTTAGAGAAACACAAGATTTAGTTGAAAATGATAACATTAATGATTTGGGCTTGAATGAGTATGAGAATGAAAATGTTGATGATCAAAGTAAAAATGAAATTGATAATGAAAATGAGAATCATAATGAAAATGAAAATGATAATGAAAATGAGAATCATAATGAAAATGAAAATGATAAAGAAAATGAAAACCATAATGAGAATGAAAATGAAAATAAAAATGAGAATCATAATGAAAATGAAAATGATAATGAAAATGAGAATCATAATGAAAATGAAAATGAGAATGAAAATGAAAATGAAAGTAAAAATGAGAATCGGAAAACAAATGAAATTGATATTGACAATGAAAATGAAAATGAAAATGAAAATATTTTAGGCAATGAATTTGATAATCAATCCATGCTCATGAATTTGAATATTTATGATCCAAGAACTTGGGATAATTTGGACACAAAATCTAGAGATATATTAGTGGAAAATGGCTCTATAAGAGATCTATTAGTCGAAAAAGGTCCTAAAGATAAATTAGGAAGATGTTTTTCTTCGGCATTTTACACTAGGTATTTATTAAATGGAGAGAAATGCGATAGGGAATGGTTAGTTTATTCAAAGGATATCGATAAAGTATTCTGTTTTTGTTGTAAATTGTTTAAAAAGGGTCTTAAGAAAAGTTTTTTAATAAATGAAGGATTTAATGATTGGATACATCTTAGTGCTAGGCTTAAAGAACATGAAACAACTAATGAACACATCATTAACATGAGTACTTGGCTTGATTTACGCATAAGATTAAAGAAAAATAAAACAATCGATAAAAATATTCAAGAGCAAATTAATAAAGAGAAGGAACATTGGAAGAAAGTATTACAAAGAATAATTTCTGTTGTTAAATATCTTGCTAAACATAACTTGGCATTTCGAGGAAAAAATGAGAGAATTTATCAAAATAATAATAGAAATTTTTAGGCCTAATTGAAATGATTGCAGAATGGGATCCGATAATGCAAGAACATGTTCGACGTATTAACCATGATGAAATTCATTATCATTATCTTGGTCATAGCATTCAAAATGAATTGATAAGTATGTTAGCTTCTAAAATCAAATGTGCAATAGTTCAAAAAATTAAAGAAGCTAAATATTTTTCAGTAATACTTGATTATACTTCGGATGTAAGTCACCAAGAACAAATGACTTTAATATTACGATGTGTCGATATTTCTACAAGCCCGATAAAAATAGAAGAATTTTTTATAGAATTTTTAAAAGTAAATGATACATCTGGACAAGGACTTTTTGAAGAATTGCAAAATGCCATATTGAAAGCGTTAAAGCAATTAGATTCCAAACGCTTGAAATAAGAGAAGCACTACTTCAGTTAGCAGAAACTGATAATGACTCCAAAATAAGAAGTGAAGCAGATTCTTTAGCAACACATGGAATTGGAAATTTTGAATTTTTATTAAGTATGATTATTTGGTATGATATATTATTTGTTGTTAACTTAATTAGCAAATATTTACAATCTAAAGACATGCTTATTGATATTGCTATAGATCAAGTAAAAGGATTGATTAGGTTTTTTGAGGATTATAGAGAAGTTGGGCTCACACAAGCTATGACAATTGCTAAAGAAATTGCTACTGAAATGGAAATTGATTCTGTATTTCAAGTAAAACGTCAAATCCGTAGAAAAAGACAATTTGATGAGAATGTTAATGAGGATACAACACAATCAGCTGAAGAATCTTTTAGAATCAATTATTTTTTGTATATTGTAGATCAAGCTATTGGTTCACTAAAGAAAAGGTTTGAGCAATATAAAGCATTTGAAGATATTTTTGGGTTTTTGTTTGGTTCAGAAAAGTTAAATTCATTAGATGATAATAATTTGAAAGCATGATGTGATAATCTTGAAATTGTTCTAAAATATAAAACATTTTCTGATCTTGATGGGAAAGATTTATTTGGAGAACTAAAAATCTTACGAAATATTTTACCAAAAGAAACAAAGATGGCTATTGATATACTGAATTTCTTAAAAATACGAAATTGATTTCCAAATGCATGTATTGCTTATAGAATATTATTGACTATACCTGTTACAGTCGCATCTGCAGAAAGAAGTTTTTCAAAATTAAAATTATTAAAATCTTATCTGAGATCGACCATGTCACAAGAAAGACTAAATGGACTAGCTTTGATATCCATTGAAAATGATTTTATAGATAAAATTGATGTTAAAGGCTTAATTAATGATTTTGCAGCTAAAAATGCAAGGAGGACAATTTTTCGATGATACTTTTTGATGCTAAAGGTTTCGATCGATATCTCTTATGAAGGTAAGCACAAATACAAAAGGAACATAATATGCAAGTATTTCTTATTGTGGACTATTTGCTCTATTCGAAAGCTTTATTAAGATAGGATTACATGTATTTATCTAATCAGTAACATTTTATTCAGGTGACCGAAGAGATGAAGAATGAGCAATAGCACTTGAAAATTATGTTAAAGACTATCCAGATATAAAAAAATCAGGTAATATTTTAATGTCTGATCAGTAATATTTTGTTCCCTAGCATTTTAGTGATTCAAATTGAAAATTATTGATATTTTATATATAGAGAAGGGTCTGTGTTTACTTTTCGCACAGGGCCCCTAAAATCTCAGAACCGGCCCTGCCCCTAATAGTATAAAAATTGTTACCCCCAAATTGGGGTGTAACCAAAGGGAAGTGAATTCCCTTCCCTTCCCTTCCTTTCCCTTCCCTTCCATTCACTCAGTTTTCATTAACTTCCCTTCACCCCCTACGAATCCAAATAGGCCCTAAGGGAAGGGAAGGGAAGGTAAACAACGGGAAGGGAAGGGAAGGGAAGGGAAGAGAATTGTAATATGTTGTTTGGGAGTTGAGTAAGGTGAATGAAGGTGAAATGAAGTAAATATTTGTAAATTTACATAAATGACTTTATACTAATAACACATCAGCCCTTTTATTTGTTTTGATGGGGGTAAGAATGTCATTACACCCCTTTATCCTCCTTTACTCTCCTCTACCGCCCAAATCGGGAGGGAAAGAAAACCAAGCAATTTTACCCTCCTTTCCCCTTCCTTCCTCCTCTCTACCCTCCTTAAAAAAACTTCCAAACAAGATGAAAGCCTCATTTCTCTTCCCCTCCCCCTCTCTACCCTCCATCCAAACAGGGCATTAAGGTGGGTTTCTTTTTATATATTAATTGTTTACATCTTTCATATTTTGAAATTAGTCCCTCAAATCATTGAATTGTTACCACGTCCCCGATATCTTAGATTATTTTGAGACTAGTCCATGTGCCTCGAATCTTCGAAATTGTTATTAGGTCCATCGATTCTTAGCCTATTTTGAAATTAGTCCCTCACACCAATTGTGGAGGTCGCGATTAGAGGGAGATCGATTCTCAACTCTTTGGAATCGCTATTAGGTTCTCAATTCTAATAAGGTGTTTCAAATTCATCCCTCCAATTGCTACATCTAATTTTGACTTGGAGGGACTAATATCAAAATTATTTAATAACCAGGGAGCTGAATAGTGATTTTTAATGAGTTGAGGGATTAATTTAAAAATAACTTAAGATTTGATGGTCCTGTTAGCAATTTCAACGATTTGGGAGACTAAGTTTAAATAAATCTAAGATTTGAGGTTCTAATATCGAAAAAACCCTTTTTAGTGGTTAACTTATTCCATTAGTTAAGCACCAGGAAAATGTCTTTCGTTCCCTGACTATGTAAAGATGTGTCTCGTATGTTTATATATAGGGTATTTTTTAAGTGTAATTGGGTCAATCTAGTTCTACATTAATTTCGATTAGTTAGCACGAAGGAAAATATAAAGCTCACTCTTTCTCAATTGAGCACAAGTCTAGTTCACACTGTAGCTTAGTCCTTTTGATCAAGCTGGAGTGAGAATTAGACTTTGTTCATTTGAGAAAAATAAGCCTTATATTTTTCTTTATTTTTGAAATAATTTTCTAGTAACACCTATGAGAATAAGAATTAGCATTCAATTTCCATGTTTATCCATCCCGTTATTTGCTTATCGTTGCTTGGATTGTCACAAAGAGCATGATAAAAATAATATATCAGACAGATGTTGCGTGAATGACATGAATCCTCACATGAGCGTTAAACTTGAAATTATAGTCGTACAATGAATTTTATTTGACTCTACCATGTCATGGTTATGGTAATATATTATTATTTTTAAGTGTATCCTACAACC